TGTGCCTTGCACACTGTACAGTATTTTAAATGTTAATAAACTGTTTTAATTTGACTTGTTTTCTTAAGAGTCTGATAGAAGGAAAGGCCACAGCTCACAAAACCAAGCCCCTCCTCCCTGAGGTTTGGGATCTGGGCAAGTGGTGGAGCCCTTGTTCTTTTAAGGCCTAGCACAGCCCTTAAGTTCTTCGAGAAGGAGGATGCTGTGCAAGGACTGTACTTCTGTCCCAGCTAGGACACACTTCCATGCTGAGCACAAGTGCAGCAGCTCCAGCACAGGGAGATGCTGTAGCATGGGTCACTTCCTAGCTCTCCATGCCTGATCTGAGTGTTAAAACTGGCCCTTCCCAGGACTCCAACACAGCAGAGCTGGGAAGAAGTACTCCTGACTTAGCACAGCTTCCACAGAGCAGCTCTCCCTTAGGCAGGAGCCAGGTCAGTAATTTTAATACTGAAATTAGGAACCAAATGCTATTAGAAAAAAAAAAAGGGGGAGAGGGCAGGGACTAGAAACAAAGCAACAGCTTTCTGCCAAAGGCCAGAAAGGGGCTAGCAATAGGGTGAAGCTTGGTGTAAAACAAAAGGTTAGTTTACATAGCCACAGCCAGCTGGGCCATCATCCAGGAGACTACTGAGGACCAGCAAACCAGTGCATGGCCCTTAGTCATTCTTCCAGCAGCCTGATCTCTGTCTACCCCTCCTGCTGAGGGGAAGCCCTGGTGCCAGGCTGAGGCTGCACACAGGGAAGCAGGCAGCTGGCATGTGGTAGAGCTTGACTACCCAGCACTTGGAAAAATGCATTTCTTCCAGGCTCAGTTATGCTGGTGCAAGTTGCAGGGAGCATATTTGAGCCTTTATCTGAGCAAGAGCCAGCACAGCTGCAGCACCCACACCCTGCACATTGGAGCCATGGTATCTGAGGTGGTGGGGCTGCACCAGACCCATCCAGCCTGTCCTTCAGCTGCAGTGGCACTGCCAGGGGCACATAGCTGATTAGCACCTTGGCCTGTGCAAAGCAGCTCACCAAAGCCTGTGCCTCCCACCAGCCTGTGATTAGCTGAGGGTGGATTATTATTAAGTTTTCACCTTCCTCTCAGCACAGTACCACGCTGTACCTGGCACCAGGCTTCAGCTCTGCCTCCTGCCCTTTAAGCCACACGCAGAATCACAGAATCACAGAATCGCTCGGTTGGAAAAGACCTCTGAGATCATCATGTCCAACCGCTCCTGTCTACCCACTAAACCATATCCTTAAGTACCTCATCTACCCGCTCTTTAAACACATCCAGGGATGGTGACTCCACCACCTCCCTGGGCAGCCTGTTCCAGCTTCTGACGACCCTCTCAGGAAAGAACTTCCTCCTTCTCTCTAACCTGAACCTCCCTTGGCACAGCTTGGTGCCATTTCCCCTTGTTCTATCCTCCATCACCTGGGAGCAGAGACCAGCACCCACCTCTCCACAACCTCCCTTGAGGCAGTTGTAGGTGGTGATGAGGTCTCCCCTCAGCCTTCTCTTCTCCAGGCTGAACAACCCCAGTTCCCTCAGCTGCTCCTCATCAGGCTTGTTCTCCAGACCCCTCACCATCCTTGTGGCTCTTCTCTGAACACGCTCCAGAATCTCAACATCCTTCTTATAGTGAGGGGCCCAGAACTGAACACAGCACTCAAGGTGCGGCCTCACCAGTGCCAAGTACAGGGGGATGATCACCTCCCTGGACCTGCTGGAAGCCAGCCAGAGCCTTCAAGGGTGGGCAGCATTGGCACCAAGTTGTGCTGTGCCAAGGCCAGCCAGCATGCACACCCTGCCCCCCAGAGCACCCCCACTCCTATTATTGATTGGGGGGGCAGAGTCACACAAAGCAGCTTGCAGCAGCTTAGCCCAGCACCTTCCCAGCAGGGCTGCTGCTCCTTCCCCATATGGCCACCTGAGAAAGAGCCAGGGAGGTTCAAGGGAAGAAGGAGCAGCTCTCCTTCCTCTTCAGAAGCAAATCTTAGGGCAGCAGCTGGCTCTAGTGTGGAAAGCAGGAA